GGGCGGGGGCGCGCGCTCCCACAGCCTCGCGCGGGCACACGTACAGCTGCACGCACGCGAGCATGCACATCTCACATACAGACACACACAGATCTGCACGACAATCGCTTCTCGGCCTTTTGGCTAAGATCAAGTGTAGTATCTGTTCTTATCAGTTTAATAAAAATTAGTCATGAAAATGTGCAAGTCCACATTAAAATCCACAGATAAAGTTTTATTTGAGCAATTGCTATTTTGAAGTATGATCCACTAAAATATTGGACATACTTTGTGATGTCTAGTTGGGCGGAGAAGAAAGACCATTGTTGACCCTGTGAGAAGCATTAAAGATGTAGGAATCACCTACACGAATATGACTAAAGCTATGGGATTTCATCAAAGTTCTAGGAAGAGAAAACTTTTTTTAAACCACTACTTTTGATTAATGTCTGGGGCCTCAGGCGCGAGGGGGAGCAGCCCTGCCTAGTCCTGGAGGCCACCGCGTCCCCCGTGCAGCGGCCAGAAGGTGGGGTTGGTCTAGTTTGGGATGCAGGATTGCAAGTCCTAGCGGCCAAACTTTTGTGGGGTTTAACGACCGAGCCTGTGGCCTGCTGTCCCCCCCGAGTCCCCTCCAACATCGCCACGCCCGGCCCCCGGACTCCAGGGATGGGCATGGGGTTGGGGACAGGGGCTAGAACACAGACGGGAGAAAATGCTCACTTTCTGAGGAGCGTCCGGTCGGTGAACACACCTGCGCACTGGATCCAGGAGTGGTCCTAGGTGCACGCCCTCGGGGAAGGGGCGGGGCGCACTGGGCGGGGAGTGGGGGCGCGGCCTGAATGCCGACCGCAGCCTGGGTGGGGAGGAAGGTTGGAGGAGGGCTGTCGCGGGAGGAGGGCGTTGCCGGAGTGGGGGAGGGACTGCTATTGGGGCTTCTCATCCTACCAATCTACCTAGAGATGTTGATTTCATACAAAAATGATAAGAATAAAACAAGGAGAATTTCTAAACAGAGGGCCTCTGAGCAGACAATATGCAGATGTTACTCCTTCCCCAATGCAGATATGCATTT